CTTGTAAATTTAAGTACGTCTAACTATTTACTTTTCTTACTACTACTACTAATAAAGTAATACTACTAACTAGTAGTNTTTTTACCTTACTTAAGTAAGTAAGTAGTGATATAATATATATATATATATATATATATATATATATATATATATATGTATAAAAGATCACAGATGTCTTTCTTTCATGCTTTACTTGTATGAATAGGGTTGCGATGATCTATACCTTCCATTTTAGTTGGACAGTATAGAGATATTTTCGAATTATGTAAAAACAAAATATCTTGAAAAATAATGCTAAATCTACAACATCTAAATAAAACAGATGGTGTAAATTGCTCCAACCTTTCTGTTGCAATCTATGGCACTTTTGTTGGGTGGGCACGAAACATTTAAACCTCTTTTGTAGTTTGAAGTGAATAAGCAGATTTGGGATGCCTTTGCATCTTGAGGAGAGACCTTCTCTCTTTGTTACCTTATAATGGCAACTCGTCCTCCAATTCACGTAAACCATCTCTATAGTTCACATTCATTAAGTGATTGCATCTTCTCCCTCCCTCTTAATTGCTATTTTACTTACTATTTCAAATCTCTGATTTGTTGGTTTTACCAAATTTAACAGATATTTCAAAATGCTCACTACGCTGGAGACGATCTCGTGCCCAAGTTTCGAAATGGGGAGCCATGGAAGAAGGTTCTTGGACCTGTATTCATATATCTCAATTCAGCTTTAACAGGATTAGATTGTAGTGTGCTATGGAAAGAAGCAAAAGAACAGGTTTTTTTCTATATAAAGCTTTTTAATGGATAATTATATTAATAAAATCTATGAAATGAAGCATCTTCTCCTTTTGTAGATGATGGCTGAAGTTCAGAGTTGGCCTTATAGTTTTCCAGCTTCAGTGGACTACCCCACTAAAGAAGAGAGAGGTTCACTTAGTGGCCGATTACTCGTTCGAGACAGGAAAGTTGACATAACTTATTCCCTTGATTGAGAATTTATTGCTTATGGATTCCATACTAAAATTTCTCAGAAGCTCTATAGTTGGGTAATGCTAATTATTAATTTAGTAGTGTCGGAATCTTTATGATTGATTCTCCACAATTCCTGAGTTGGACTATTATTATTCTTTAAGTGCTAGGATTGGATAGGCATGTGGGTTTACTTTTGTTAGTTTTGAGACTTCAGTACTTGTAGCTTTTCTGCAATTAACTAATGAGAATTATGGAGCTTGGGTTATACTTGGATCGCTGATTTTTGATAAGCAAGTGACTTTACTAGGTGGGTTTGTCGGAGAATTCAATAGTTTTAGCTTTTCTATAGTTACTATGAAATCTAGACTATAATTATATTCTTTTAAACTATTTTTCCTAAGCAAGTGAGTTTATCGGGTGGTTTGGTGGGAGAATTCAGTACTTTTAGCTTTTATATAGTTACTAAGAAATCTAGACTATAATTTTATCCTTTGAAACTGTTTTTTCAAATAAAACACCCTTTAGCTTCTTTAATCCTCAGATTTGTCAGCAGCAACGACATGATTGCGGAGCTGCTTATGTTGGGCTGGCTTTGCCTGGAGATGCTGGCTCGTGGCAAAGAGAATGCAAGGTCTCCCTCTCTCTCTCCATATGTGTAGATATAACTATAGGCAACACACACCCAAGAATGGGGTCTCTTGTAAACACGGGGGTTGGGAGCTTGGGATGTGAAACATGGCTGCATGGGGAGTACTTAATACTGTGTCTTACACTTCTTTCAGGGATATCAATTCTGGACCAAAACTGATTCTGAAGGTTATTTCACCGTTAATAGTGTTGGGATTGGAGATTACAATCTCTATGCATGGGTATATGGTTTCATTGGAGACTACAAATATGATGACATGATCACTATATCTGCTGGTGAGTGCTCTTGTCGCATTCACAACTAACGGTTAATATATATATATATGAGAAAAGATGGGATAAGCCAACTAACTCATATGAACATATGAGCCCAACGGTCGTGATTGAATCTGGGCCGATCTGACGATCACGGATGTCTGGTAGTATTTGAATTTTATTTTAATTTTACAGATCCAAATTACTTGAAATTTTAGATGTATATTCTTCTCATCAAGGCACACCTAATAAAAATATAAAAAATTTATTCGTAAAACAAAATGACCAAAATACCCCCAAAACTTTTTTAAGGTATTTTCGTTAATTTGTATCATGTAAATATTTTTTTTATATTTTTCGAAGATTCACCTATTTTTTATGAACACACGCCTAAAATTTCATATGATTTGAATTTGTAAAAAAAAAAAAGTAAAATTTAAATACTAGTGAACATTCGTGATCGTCAGATTGGCCCAGAATCAATTAGAGACGTTGGGCTCATATGTTCATATGAGCTAGTGGGCTAATCCCATCTGGGCAATGATTTCATGCAACGGTTTTATAGTAATATGATGCAACAATCTTCAAAAACCATGTTTGGGCCATTTATTTGATCCAAAATTTAAAATATATATTCTTTTCATTTTAATGAACAATCACAAAAAAGAAAAATTTGAAAACACAACATCAAAGGTATTTTTTTAGCCCAATTAACATAGGCTGTCCATTTTAATAAAGTGCTTAGATCTAGGCCCTAGAAGGATTTTTTCTTTTCCAAATTTTCTAGATGGCTTTATTATCATTAGATGAACATTGTTAAAAAAGAAAGCAAAATGATTTTACATTTGTAAAAGCTAAAATCTTGAAATTCACTAAATAAATGGTCTAAATTTGTTATTGGAGGGAACTCATTTTGCCCAAATCTAGGTTTAAAATTGAACTTTACTTTTTTGGAATTGATTATTGAGATGAAGATATTGTGCACAAAATTTTGGGTCAAACATGGTTTTCTAGATGTGTGGTTGCATTATATTATGATAGCCCACTAGCTCAGATGAACATATTTGTTCATATGTTCCCAACGACCCAGATTGAATATGGGCCGACTTGACGATTAAGATTTTATTTTGTATTTGAATTTTTATTTATTTTCTACAAATCCAAATAATTTGAAATTTTAGACATGTATTCTTAAAATATAAGAGAATCTAATAAAATATCAAAAAAATAATTTGTAAAAAATAAATTGACCAAAATATCCTTGAAATGTTTTGGGGGTATTTTGGTTAATTTATTTTTTGCGAGTTATTTTTACTAGGAGTGCCTTGATGAGAATAATGGACGTCTAAAATTTAAAGTTATTTTAATTCGTGGAAAAATTATAAAAATTCAAACACGAAATGAGGTCGTAACCATCTGATCAGCCTAGATTCAATTTGAACCGTTGGGCTCATATGTTCATATGAGCTAGTGGGTCAATCTCTGCATTTTCCATATATATATATATATATATCAGGTTCGAAGGGGCATTAAGAATTATTAAAGGAATTTCCCTGTTGGAAAATTATAGGTCCTACAAAAATATCAAAGTTATACAGACCAAGAAATTTCTCAAGTAGAAAATGCTTTTAAAGTAGACAAATGCCGTTTGAGAATTATAGACAAAGGCTGACTATGAGTTTTTAGATAAAGTTGGAAACTATCTTGGGTTTCTATGACAGAAATTGTTTTTTCCATAATTTTGACTGAAAAGTTGCTTTTGAACTCAAAAGTCCCTCTTCTATAAACACCTGTTACAGGAACCTTTAGAATATTCCAATTTTGGGTTTGTTTGTGGATATTATCAATGGTAACCTCTCTTTTATTGTTCACACGAAGAGTGTTAGAAGAAGCTGTCCTATTTGATAGTGTCTTGATAAAATTTGCCATTTTTATCTTATAACTGTTATCTGAATCAACCGGAAACAATCCTTACACCTCCTCTTGAATCTTTCTTGGCCGTTAATGGTGATATTTGGGTCACAACTATTTTGGATTTAGTGTAAAAACATAAAACGTATCTAATTAAGTCAAATGAACTTGCATGGTAAGATGTACAGCAAAGTGGTACACCACTGGATATACAAACACATACATTCTTCATCGTTAATTTCTTCAATTAGTATCTCATCTTCTGAATTACTAGAACTATCAGAAGTATCTTCTCTTATTAGGAGAATATCAAAAATTTGTTTTTTAATATCATCTATTTCAAGTGCATTTATCTTTTTCTTCACTCTATATTTATTTTTGTAATGTCCTACCTTCCCAAACTTATAACAGGCAGGTAGTTTCTTTTGCTCTTTGTGTTTGAAGGGGCGATTCATGAAGGGACGATCTTGGATGTTTAGGAAATTTATTTTCCTTTTCGTAGATGGATTAAATCTAGATTTATGAGAATGTTTAATTTTATCTTTTAAAGAGGGTTTTGAAGATGATAAAGTATTATAACCAAATTGTTCACAATATTCTCCTAACTCATTCTTCCCAGTCATTCGTTGCCTTTCTAATTATCTTTTAAATTTAAGGTTTGCACGTAAGGCTAGACCTTCAGCGCAAATTTCAACAGATAATTCTCCTAAGGAATTTGGGAAAAGGGAACGAGTCCATTATGCTTATTTTTAACTCTTGTTTTAACTTAAGCAAAGAGGTTAGGAAGTCCATAAATGAATTTTTCTTTTCAATGATCAGATTTACTGTCTTCCTTAAAAAGCAACCTAGAGAATCAACTTTCTGATGGTAGCAAAATGCTACCATCAAACTTCTAATGCTGAGTGATGGAAGCAAAATGTTGAGTGATGGTAGCAAACTTTCAACGGGCCTTTGTCTGTTTCAAATACCGTCGATGGTAGTAAAATACTAATTAATTACAAACTTTTTGATGTCGCTGTTTGTAATAATGGGACGTACTTTACCTTTCTTTTAATTATGGTTAAAGGATTAAGTCAACCAGTTATTCTTAGAACACCTTTTTTAAATATGCTATACCCAATAAAAATTGATGATACCGGGATTGCTGCAAATATTGAAGGACATGAAGTAGAATTCGATTTCATTGATAAACCTAGAATACATGAGATAAATAATATAAAAAATAAAATTTGTACTAAAGAAAAATTTATGTTCTCTTTAAAAGAAGAAATCAAATATAAAATAATTGAAGAAAAACTACTACCTTAAAAAATCCAGCATGAAATTAGTAAGTTTAAAACATCCCTTGAAATGAAATTTGCGTTGACATTCCTAATGCCTTTTGGGATAGGAAACAACACATCGTAGAACTCCCTTATGAACTAGATTTTAATGAGCAAAAAATTCCAACCAAAGCAAGGCTTATGCAAAGGCTTTTAGAAATCTGTAAAAAGGAGATTCAAGATTTACTTGTTAAAAAACTAATTCGAAAAAGCTTTTCACTATGGAGTTGCTCAACCTTTTATGTTGAAAAGGTTTCTGAAATTGAAAGAGGAGCTCCTCGATTAGTTATAAATTATAAACTTTTGAATAAAGCATGAAGATGGATAAGATATCCAATCCCAAACAAACGGGATTTTCTTGATAGGTGTGTCAATGCCAGTATCTTGTTAAAATTTGATCTAAAATCTGGATATTGGCAAATCCAGATAGCTGAAAAAGATAGATATAAAACAGCTTTTAATGTCCCTTTTGGGCACTATGAATAGAATGTTATGCCATTTGGTTTAAAAAACGCACCATCCGAATTTTAAAACATTATGAATGAAATATTTAATCATTTAACTAAGTTTATGATAGTCTATATTGATGATATGCTCGTCTTCTCCGAGTCTATTGAACAACCTTGGAAGCATTTAAAGGTTTCCCATAAAGCTATTAATTATAACCAAATTGTTCACAAAAATCCCCTAACTCATTCTTCCCAGTCATTCGTTGTTTTTCTAATTGTCTTTTACGTTTAAGGTCTGTACATAAGGCTAGACCTTCAGCACAAATTTCAGCAGATAATTCTCCTAAGGTATATTAGGAAAAAGGAATGAATCCTTTATACTTATTTTTAAAACTTGTTTTAACTTTTTCAGCAAAGAGGTTAGGGAGTCCAGAAATGAATTTTTCTTTCTAATGATCAGATTTACTATCTTCCCTAAAAAGCAACCTAGATAAGAACACATCTTTGTGCCATTTAAAATGTGACAGAGTAGGGCAATGAAGATTAGATAATAAATCTTCTGATCATGCTGCTAAAATGGCAGTACTACCAACAAAATGGAGAGTAATAGTATAAATAAGGGTATTAACTGCATCATCTTCATTTTCTTTAGTTTCAAGGACTTGCCCAGGCCCAACTTCCCTCTTAAAAAGCTATTGTTTAGTAGGATTAAGGATTTGATCATTAACCTTATCAGTTTCTTTGGGTCTTAATTTAAAGGGTGAGGCCTTAACTGCGAGTTTTTCTCCTTTTAACTGCAAACTAGTTTCAGGTGGATGAATTGATTCTATTGTTTCATCTTTAATGGTAGGGAAGGTCTGAAAAGATTCTTCAGCCATATTGATCTCAAATTCTAGGACTTGAATTCCTTTTATTTTAAGAATATATTTTAACCACTTAAAAAAAATTACTTTCTTTTTTATGTTTTATTATGAATTCATTAATTCTTCTTTAAGCTCTTGAAAAAACCAATCGTTATTTGATCATTTTCTTCTGACATAAAATCCTTTTAATCCATTCTTTATCTATAATGAACTTGTCTTGACATTGGATACTGAAGAGATTAAAATCAAGGTCAGAAGGGATAGGTTCTTCTGGTTCAGTATAGGAAGAACTAGGAGTATTAACCCTATACATTGGATGATGGATCTGGTTAGAAGCCTAAGCCCTTCTATAATAATTCTTTCATTATGGGCTCTTTCATAATCTGATTGGGAAACAGAGGACGTTGAAGTCCTAGGCAGAACTCTATTAAGAAGATTGGATGTATTTAATCTAGTTCTTTTGGATGATGGAAATT